CCCCAAAACCCCAAAACCCCAAAACCCCAAAACCCCGAGATCCAGATGTAATATTTAAAAATATAAAATGGAGACCAAATTCAAAATAGAATATCTTGGTAAGCCTCAACTGAGGGTTTACTTAACATTTTCATTCAAATTTAGTCAGTAAAAGACAAAGAATGATCAGCCATATTAAGAAAATGTTCACCAAACAAGGCGGGTTCTGGCTAAACTGTGTCTATATCAACAAAGGTGAGCAATCCTATGTGATATTTTAGAAATATGGTATACTTTGCTTCATAGAGTTCCCTCTTAGATATATAGGGTCTCAACTGATGATAAAAATCAAGCTAGTGATGGTAAGTCGACTGCTGATCGTTACAGAAATTTTATTATACTTCTCCCTTGCAAATTCCTTGGGAAGATTGTTAGACATTCCATGAATAAATTCTTACAAGACATCGCTGCTACAACTATTCGACGATTTCAGAACTTTCTGGTAAGGCCAAAAAGATCTGAACCTCTAGAATCTTCGAGCAGAACAAAGATCCTGTAATGAGGTATTGAATGCCAAGCTCCAGCTTGTCATTCGGTAAATCTTACAAGTTTGATATTTTGGATAAGAAAATTGAGGTATGATTATATCTCTAAATTCAGGCTGAAAGCAAATACATGGTACCTGAGCAACTCTACTATAACGAGGGTAAACTCTCGGATTTTGACAGCGAAAAGTATGTATTTACAGTAACAATAGAGAGAAGGAAGACACTTCTAATAAGACTGACGTCAAAGTTCCCGAATCCGGCTTATTCCTATATCAGATGGTTCCTTATAAGTTAGATTATTATGAAGTCTGTCACGAGCTCCTTTCTGAGCTCGTGCTGATCTACAATAGGCTCTTTAATAACGACACAGCTAATTTTAATAAGATCGATAAGTGAATAATGGAGAATATCATCGATCCGATAGTTGAAGAAGTGAGCAAAGTAGCAGAGGTGCTCCAGCATAGTATTTTCAATGACCTCCTATCTAACAAAGATGTGTAAATCCTCGCTTTTAAACATCCAAATGATTATTTTCAATGTTGAATATGTATGATGGGGTTTTGGGGTTTTGGGGTTTTGGGGTTTTGGGG